GAGAGGAGAGAGAGAGAGTGGGGAGAGGGAGGAGTGTTGTGGAATATTGTTTTAACTATGTAAAGATATGTTACATTCGTTTATGCTGTGGGGTGTTACTATAACTGTGTGTGTTACATTCGTTTCTGCTGTGGGGTGTTACTATAACTGTATGTGTTACATTTGTTTCTGCTGCATTTGTTTAACAATGTAAGGATGTGTTACATCTGTTTGTGCTACATTTGTTTAACTATGTAAAGATGTGTTGCATTTGTTTCACCTTGCCTGTCTAAAACATCTGATTGGTCTAATGAAAACGGCCAATAGCTAGGCAGAAGAGGATAGGTGGGGCTGGCCTTCAGAGAGAATAGGTCAGAGGAGAACTCTAGGCTCAAGAGAGAAAGAGGAGAGAACAAGGGAGAAAGAAAGGGACATGCTTGGGGCCAGAAGCCAGGCAGCCACCAGCCAGCCAGACACAAAAAGCAGTACAAAAAAAAGATATACAGAAGGAAAGAAAGATAAAGCCCCGAGGCAAAACATAAATGAAGAGAAACAGTGAGTGGGACAAGTAAAAGACAAGGCCAAACATTAATAACTAATAAAAACTAATAATTAATTACTAATAACAAGTCTCCATGTCATGATTTGGGAGCTGGCTAGTGGCCTAAAAGAAAAAGGCTGATACAGGGGAGAGGATGAGGGGAAAGAAAAGAGAAGAGAGGGGTGGGGAGAGGAAGAAAAGGCCTGGTACGGGGAAGAGAGGGGAATGAAGGAGAGAGAGGAGAGAGAGAGACAGACAGACAGAGACAGAGAGAGAGACAGAGACAGAGAGAGAGACAAGAGACAGAGAGAGACAAGAGAGAGAATGGGAGTGAGGGGGGAGAGAGATAAAATAGTGTTATCTTCCTAAGTTTGGAAGATGCTTTAAATAGTATGAGCAGAGTGTTTAAAGATACAAACTCAGGGCCTGGAGGGTTGGTTCAGATGGATCAGCCCTTGCTGATATTCCAAAGAACCAGAGTTCAATTCTCATCACCAACACTGGGCTGCTCACAGCCATTTCCAACTCCAGCTCCAAGTGAGACACACTCTCTTCTGGCCTATCCAGGTACTTGCAGACATGTGTGCATCCTCACATACAGAAACAAACAGTTTTTTTTGTTTGTTTTTTTTAAGGAACTAACTCACTCCTTGATATTTTCCCCCTATGGTTGGTTTCTAGACTTAGAAGTTGCCTCCCTCCAAAAGAAGGAGGAGGAGGAGGAGGAGGAGGAGGAGGGGGGGGGGGGGGTGGAGGAGGAGGAGGAGGAGGAGGAGGAGGAAGAAGAAGAAGAAGAAGAAGAAGAAGAAGAAGAAGAAGAAGAAGAAGAAGAAGAAGAAGAAATTATTTCTCCCTTCTGTTTGTAAACCCCTTAATTAACATTATAGTCTGGCTTAGTTAGGTATACTTTACTTTGGTATCTTGACTAAAAAGGCAGTCGGCAGTCATGCATTAAGGTTTCTTGGTTGCACATTCAGTTCTTAAACATAAAAGGATGTTTTTCTGGTTTCCAAGGAGCCTTTCAAGTTGGGGCTGCACCATTTGACTGAACAGGGCAGGCCCTTGCCTGCTGCTGCTGGGTCACAGGAGTCCCTGTTCACAGGTCCAGAGATGTGCTGTGCCCTTGACAGGTGTGTTTGTCATAAGCCCAAGTGCCTTGCTCGCTTCAGTGCCCCTTTGCCCTTGGGTTCCCTGACACACCGGAGCATCCTGATCTAATGTCACATTTACTCGAGTCAATTAAGAGGTGTCTGTATCTTGTGACACACAAGTTCAAAGGAAAACTTCACCTTAACTGTGACCTAAAAGATATCCCTCGCCAACAAAGCTGCAGTCCTCCATGCCATGAAGATTATGTATGGTTTCCCTAAGGTATCATCACAAGATGTCCATCAGCAGAGTCAGCAAGACATCTGCAGCTCGGGCCAGGCAAACCTACCCGGCTGCTTGGCTGATGATACACATGTCCAAATGGACCTTCCAGATTCATACAGCCCCCCCCCCCCAACAGATGCCACAAACCTCAAGACCCTCCCAGCTCAGTCACCTGCAAGAAGACAGAAGACACAATGTCTGCGAAAACAAAATAAACATAAACATTGTTATTATTAATGCCTTGCTCCACCCACACTGAGGGGACATACAAGTGAGAATGATTTTTGAACGTGTCTGAAGATCTCTTTGAGGTCATCATTAAGGCATCTCATTTCTCAGCCAGTAAAAGAACTAAACATAGAGCAGTTCTGTAGCCACACTGACCCTTGATTAGTAGCTTGGGTTAGTAAATAGTAGTAGCTTATGATGGGGGGGGGGGGTCACGATCTGTTTGCTGTTTGACCCTTATTTTTAGAACTGGAATCTGTAAGAAGAATAAAAGCAAAGATAAGGGATCCTGTTATAGTCAGTTAGCTATCCTAGAGGAAGCCAGAAAGGGCTGGCAAAACAGCCGGAGCATAGGAGACCGCGAGCTCCCCTCCCCACCTGGAGCTGTGACTTACCTGGAAGCTCCACCCAGGCAGGAAAACCCTCCGCGCTTGCGCATTGCGCATTTCGTCAGCCCGCACCTGCTGGGATCTCCTAGCTGGCGTGGACTCTGTACAGTCACCTGGTGTCCCCAGCACAGGACACCCTGAGGCCTTTTTCCTACTCAGTCAGATGCCAGAGGGTGTGGCCAGCTTCAGTTACAGAATGAATAACAAAAACCACTTCACCTCCCCTGCTACGGCACACTGAGCTCCTCAGACTCCTGGCACACCACCGAGGGACTTGCGTAAGCTCTGGACCAACCAACCAACCCTCTGGATTTGCCAATCCGGAAGTGAAAACTCTGGTTCTTAGATGCCCATCCATGTGACTCTGTGTTTACTGCTGCTCCATCCTTACCGTTCCTGTCTTTCTTGCACATCTGTAGCCTTTCTATCAGAAAGACCCACAGCGTCATCACGCCCCTCCTCTTTGGGAGATGACACTGGGGAAATCCACAATTCATAGGGAACAACAACCACCCAAACACCACATCCTAGTCCAGAACGAGGACGTTCCTCCTATCCCATCTTCCTTGCTTTTAGAGACCTTCCCCCCCCACACCCCCCCAACTAGCAGATACCAGGTTGTACTCCCATGTCTAGATTCCAAACCACCGCTCCTAGCAGAGGACCACTTGTGTTTATCTGGAAATGCTGGCGTCCTTGTTCCTACCATCTGGTTATTCAAACATTTCGACCCACGATTTCCATGGGCTCATTGGGAGGCTTCCTCCATTCAAATGTGTTGCTGCCACAGGAGAGCCTTATTTTTCCATAACCTGGAGATTTAGTTGAAAACAGCCAGGTAAGAAAATGGTAATTTTCCAGGAAAGAAAGGCAGGCAGCATTCTTCTGTGGGTGTTCCCGGCTTGCCTTTCCCTACGGAAACATGTTATGTGGAGCCCAAGTCTACCATAGTTAATTCATCTCCAACTTTTGTTTGCTGCAGCTCTATCTGGTCTGAGGAGGGGATGTGATGAGAGCGGAATCCTAGCTGTGGATTGGCCGTGCCTGGTGCAAATCCCAGCACCCACCACAGCTTCCTTAAATCGAACAGGCCCGTGAGGTGGCTCAGACAGATGTCCTCCAGGAACAGAGGAATGTGCTCATGAGGACCAGGACAGTTGTTCCTGCCACATCTGAAAACAATAAAAAATTGATCACACTAATGAAAGGTCTGCAAAGAGATAAATGTTGGGTCTTAATTGAGTAACATACAGATTGCTACTTTTTTCCTATTAAAATCCCCCCCCCACTGGGTGGTGGTGCACACCTTTAATCCCAGCACTCAGGAGGCAGAGGCAGGCAGATCTCTGTGAGTTCGATGCCAGCCTGGTCTACAAGAGCTAGTTCCAGGACAGGCTCCAAAGCTATAGAGAAATTCTGACTCATTAAAAAAAAAAAAAAAAGTCCCCTAGCCAACACGGTAGTACATTGCTGTAATCTCAGGTTCTCAGGTATAGGCAGCCAGGTGAAGTTCCAGCCAGCATCTGCTACATACCAAGTTCAAGACCAACCTTGGCTACAGGACAGCCTGTCTCCAAAAAACAAAACCGTGTTCCCTATGGACCTTTTGCAGTGTTTCAAGTGGAACTCCATTTTATCATTGTAGTATATTTCCATTAAAACTGAAGTCATAAAAATGACATTATAGCTGGGCAGTGGTGGCACACGCCTTTAATCCCAGCCCTCAGGAGGCAGAGGTAGGTGGATCCCTGTGAGTTCAAGACCAGACTGGTCTAATAGAGCGATTTCCAGGACAGGCTTCAAAGCTACAGAGAAACCCTGTCTTGAAAAACAAAATGACATTATAATGACAGAATGAAGACTGTGGCTGCCTGGAACGGAGGGTACATGGAAGATTCGACAGTGAAGAGCAGGAGGACTCTTCAGGGTGAGGGTGACATGCTCTGCCTTGAGCACAACGGTGTTTACACGGGCATATATATTTGATGAGCATCACTGAACTCTATACTTAAAACTGCACTTTATTGTGTGTGAATTCTACCTTTGTGATAGGAATGTTCAGAAAGTCTAAAGCCTGAAAGGTGGTTAAATAAAGCCCATAGCAGGGGTATACTATATTTACAAACAATAGCAAATTCCTTCGGGGAGGAAAAGGAAGCCGAGCTGAAGGGAATGTTTTGTTTAACATTCCCAAACAGGACGCAAGGCGAGCAAACGTGATCACGTCCGCCTGCTGCAATTGTACTTTGCAGCTCGCTGTCATTTTCAGAAGGTCGAGTAGGTAATTTTGGTATTTTATAGATTATTGGAGAGCAACTACATCCTGTTTCCTGGAATGCAGGAAGGGCTGGGGTCACCTCGCCGCACACACAAACAACACAGTTCATAGGTCACTCGGGATGGGCCGTCTTGGAATTGAAACTGATGATGCCAGGCTTGGAGAAAAGGAATTGGTTGTCTTTTCAGATTGTCCGTTCCTAGCTCTGGGAATCCAAATCCCACAAAGCCGGTAGTCTGTGTGTCTTCGTTGCTTTCCTCTTACTGCAGCAAGGCTGCTCGAGGAAGCGTTGTTTTGGCTCATGGTGGGAAGATGCATCTCGTTGTGTGGGGAAAGTCATGGCAGCAAGGTGAGAGAGGGAGCTGTCCTCGCAGCCACACTCGGGAGCCAGAGGTGAACGCTGCTGCTCAGCTGCCCTTTCCACTTTGTCCAGGACCCTCAGCCCATGGAACGGTGTCACCCACGTTTAGGGTAAGTGTTTCCACTTCAGTTAACCTAATCAGGAAGCACCTCACAGATGTGTGTTTGTCTCCTGGCTGGGGACTGGTTCTAGATCCCGTCAAGTTTGCTGTCAATATTAACCGTCGCCCTAAGGAAAGTTTCCCCGTTACTATGGTGTCAAGAAGTATTGTCCTGATGGCCCATACTGTGCAAGCTTTAGGCACTGATTAAAATAAACTAAAAATAGGGGCTGGTGGGATGGCAAAGTATCTGGTGCACAGGCACAGGGGCCTGAGTTTGGATTCCCAGCATCCAGGTGCAGCTGAGCATGGGAGCACACGTCTATAACCCTAGCGCTGCGAGGGGGGCAAAGACCCATAGGTCCCAGCAGATCCCCAGGGATTTGCTGACCCAACCCGTGTTGCTAAAATGATGGGTTCAGTGAAAGAATATTTCAGAAAATAACATGGATAACAGTTGAGGAAGATGCCTGAACTGACTTCTGGCCTCCATATATACAGGCACAAGGAAACATGTAAGCATGCACACACATATATAACACACACACACAAATAATAATATTAAACTTCAAAAAATAAGCATCCTCTTATCCCTGGCCAACAACAACAACGACAAAATTCTATACTTTGGTGGAGGGCTTGGAGCAGAACAATAGGAGAATGTTAGTTCTGTCTGATGAGAGTCTGGAGAAAGCCAGGAAACAATGTTTTGGTTTTCTTGTATTGTACAGAGGCTGACGAAGAAGGTGCATGCTATAAAAGCAATGACCTTGCTCTTGGGACAGGAAGGGACAAGGGTCCTCCTCCATGGATGATCTGATGGCAGAGGGAACAAGGGACATCGCTTGGTTGAGGGGATAGACCTTAGACCCCCCTCCCCACACCCCTGTGTTCACTGTGTGTCCCAGGCAGTTCGAGCTTTGTTGAGGACTCTTTTAAATGAGCGCCTACTTGGGTACACAAGTCTTAAGCAAAAGTGAGCATTTGGCTAGAACTTGCTATATCCACATCAGCCATGATTTCAGTTTGTTACTGCAGGATCAGCAGACATGGCAAATACAGCCCACTGGGTTTTGTTTCACCCTGGATAGCAGCCTTGGTTTCTATCTGAACTCGACTGAACTTTTAACTAGAAATATCAGGCCCACAGCGAACTCTTTCTGGGACTAAGCACCCTCGCGTGATGAAGTATGACTACATATCACCACAAAGAGGGAATGGCCCCCAGCAGCCTGTCCCCAGCTTTCCTCTTAACAGACTCACTTTCTCCTGCCATTCCCTCATCAGTGACTATCCTTATCTTCCCACTCATGAAAACATGACCATTAGGACACCGCTAGAGCTCATTTTTGGGGGAATATATTTCACTGAAGAAACATTGGAAAGGATCTGATTAGATGCCATGTTAGCTGTTATTAAACTGCAAACTGTGGACGGGGTCTTGTGCTTCCTGCAGATGTTTTGCTTATATTTTGTTAATTCAGTGTGTGTGTGTGTGTGTGTGTGTGTGTGTGTGTGTGTGTGTGTGTGTTCGTGCCATGGTGCTTGTGTAGCATCAGAGGACAGCTGGCAGGAGTCAGTGTTCTCCTTCTACAGTGTAAGTCTTAGGGATTGAACTAAGGTCATCAGGCTTGGCAACAAGCACCTTTTCCTACTGAACCATCTCAACAGTCCTCCGGAGACTTCTAGGCTGGGCTCTTTTAGCCTCAAGCCATAAGTCATGGTTCAGTTCCATGGTGTGCTGGGGACTGCAGACCCTCAGACCCTGAATTTCTATGACCCCTTGCCTGCCGGAGTAAACAGCTTGTTTCCTGTGCTTGCAGCTGCTCTGGGCACGAGACCCTCATGAGTTCCTGATGGCAGGGGAGTGGTTTCTGGAGGGCTTGCAGCTGAAAATTCCCAAGAGCTAGGGTGTGGCTATTAGTCAAGGAGAGCCCTATATAAGCTGCCCTGGAACACAATAAAATTGGCATTCTTGGTTCAAGGATAACTCCCGCTCTGTGTGTGCATGTGTGTGTGTGTGTTTTAATCTCCAGCCCCTTGCCTGACCCACAAACCATCGGTGGTACAGGCATTATACTACAATGGCAGAGTGCTTGCCTAAGATACAGATGATGACCCTGAGTTCTATCCCTGGCACTCCCCAAACCATCCATCTTATTGTCACTGTTCTATTGTTGTGAAAAGAGTCATGACCGAGACAATTCTTATAAAAGAAGGCATTTAACTGGGGCTGGCTTCCAGTTTCAGAGGCTTAGTCCATTGTCATCAAGGCAGCAGGCAGACAGGTGAGGTGCCAGATATGTAGCTGAGAGCTACATCCTGACTCACGGGCAGCAGGGAGAGAGAGAGAGAGAGAGAGAGAGAGAGAGAGAGAGAGAGAGAGAGAGAGAGACCCAAAGAGAGACCCAGAGAGAGAGAGAGAGACAGAGCACAAGCCTGGGGTAGGTACCCCCAGCCCACCCCCAGTGACTTCCCAACAAGGCCACACCTACTCCAACAAGGCTATACCCCCAACTCCCCAATCCTAAATAGTGCCACTCCCTGGTGACTAAAAATAAAATATATGCACTTATGGGGCATTCTTATTCAAACCACCACACCACCCAAAGTAGAATATAGGTGATGATAATTGAAAAAGAATTCTGCAGTTCTGTGGAAGGAAGAAGTCTTCCTGGCATTAGCAGTCTCCAAATGAAGCCATGTGCAAGACTGTGACACGCCATGAGCTGTCAGAACATTCCCCCATGGCATCCCCTGGAGAGTGGATTTGATTTTACAGTAGCTACGGGCCTTAGCGACTGGCCCCCTTCTCCAACACTCTTCAATTCTCTATATGCTGTCAAGTTTTCTGGTCAGACTCCTTGGCTCAGTCTCAAGAGCTGCTTCCCGCATGACGGCGCGGGCTAAGCACCTCCTTTGCAGCCATTCCCACAACACTTCTGGTTTCTAAAGTGATGTTATAAACTGTCAAGTGACTCAGAAATCCCAGGAGCAAGCCCTGATGGAGTGCAGAGGGAAGGGATGACGTCACCGGAGGCTGACCCAGGGGAGGAGGCACATCTTTCAACACCTTGGCAGCGCTCCTGGCCTCACAGGAGCTCCTGGAAGTGATGTGTGTGCGGAGGCCTGGCTCACATCTGGCCCATCATCCCTCAGCTTGGCCCCCAACTCCTGAGGGATGGACAAGAAGAGAAAAATCAGGGAACCAAGCAGCGCATCCCCAACAAGAAACCAGGAGCCTGTTACCCCCTGGGAAATGGACTCAGATACTCCCAGTACCCTCCTCACCGGCACCAAGGAGACCGCCACCACCCTTCATCTCCCCAGACGGTCCTCTGTGATGCCGGACTGCAAACTCCACATCCACCTACAGCTCAGTCACTCTCGTGGTGGCTGTGACGCTCGCTCTGCAGCTGTAGCTGCGAACTCTGCATTGCATTTCACTGACCAATTCTGCTTGGCTGCCAAAGGCACATGCTTCCCCTTCCAGCGTTAGAACAGACAGGCCACTACCACACCATGAGGTGTCACATTCGAGCAGAAGAATCTACAGTCTGACACTCGGCAACAGATTTATGAAGAATTTTAACAGCAGTTTTCAGCCTGTGGGTTGTGACCCCTTTGTGGGCCGAGCAACCCTTTCTCAGGGGTCGCCTAAGACCATCCCACAGATCAGATATCGGCATTAGGATTTATAACAGTAGCAAAATTACAGTTGTGGAGTTGTAACAAAAATAATTTTACCGTTGAGGGTCACCACAGTTTGAGGAACTGTATTAAAGGGTCGCAGCAGCAGGAAGGCTGGAGACCCTCTGATCTGGACAGAATCATAAGGAAGGCCAGGAAATCGGGCCCGGAGCCGCTACAGTGTAAGATGGTACTCAAAGCCTCCTTCCCAGTCTACAAAGAACAGGTGCTGCTGCCACCCGCCAGTGAGACCAACGCCAATATGGCTGCCCTGGAGTTCTCAAGTGTTGCTCCACTGAACCACAAGAGGGGACCACTGCTTGGGTCTGCTCACAGAGGAGTCTCATGTTCATGACCTACCTGTAAAACATCTGGCCTGGAAGTCCCTAAAAATAGGATGAGCAGTCATAAATCTGGCACGTGCCTATCTCCTCCTTTCAGTCACCAGGGTCTGAAAACGGACAGGTCCTTTATATAGAAAGGCATGATTTCTGCACATACCTAATACACGCGCCCCTAAATACTTCATATCATCTCTAGGCAACTTCTAACGCCCAATGTGCTGTCCATCCTAAATCCGTAATTGCTGCGTCCATTAGGGCAAAAGACAAGAAGAGTTACCCACTCTCAGTATAGATATCATTTTTGTTTTTGTATTTTTGGTCTGTTCTGTGATTGTTTGAATCTGCAGCCAGGGAACCCACAGGTAGAATTCTCTGTCTTTCTCTGCCCCCACCCCCACTCCAGGGTGTGTGTGTGTGTGTTTAAAACCTTTTCTCGGTTGTTTCGAGAACAGGGGAGACTGTGCAAACACTGTTGCCTTGTTCCCGTCACCTCCGTCAGAACTGAACACACACACAGTGAATTCAAACAACGAGCTTCCCTTCTCTCGCAGTTCGAAAGGTCATAATTTTGGAATGGTCTCACTGGGCTTTAAGGAAGGTGCTCACAGACTAGAGACTCCGTTCCCTCACCTTCTCAGCCTCAAGACACTACCTGCTTCTTGTGGCCCACAGCCCGGTTTTGTTCTCTGGTTGTCCTGTCTCCATCTCCCAAGGACACTCTTCCCAGGGTGATCTCGTCATCCCAGGACACTGACTGAACACCCTCTCACTGTTCCTTCTGCACATGAGGTACACTGTCCCAGGGATTTATAACGCGGGTGTTCAACCGCAGCGCGTCTCAGGGACAGCCGGTTGACTGGCTGCACAAAGGCCTCTGTCCCCGCGAACTGACCATAGTTCAGAATTCCACCTCTCTCCTTCTTACCAATATCCCAAACTAAGATGCTGGTTCACCGTCAGACACCACTGAACAAACTAAAGAACTGTGCTGGCTAGGGCTTTGTCAACCTGACCCAAGCTAGGGTTACCTGGGAAGAGGGAACCACAGCTGAGAAATGCCTCCACCAGATTGACCTTTGGGAGCGTTTTCTTGATAACTGATGTGGTACCACCGCTGAACAAGGTGTCCTGAGTTGTCTAAAACTGAGCTGAGCAAGCCATTAGGAGCAAGTCAGTAAGTAGCACTTCTTCATCAGCCTCTACTTCCTGCCCCCAGGTTTCTGCCTTGAGTTCCTGCCGTGACTTCCCTCCGCGATGGACTATGGCCCCAGAGATGTAAGATGAAGTAAGCTCTTTCCTCCCCAAAGTTGCTTCTAGTCGCGGTGTTCTGTCTCCACAACAGAAACCCCAAGGCAAGTACCAGGTCATCTGTTAATTCCTGGTCGACGGCCCCGGTTCTTTAAGAGGGAGTTTCTGGTATTCTGAACCCCTGTGTACCACTGAGCACCCACGCTGGGAGCTGGGAGTCCTTACCAGAAAGCGAGCAGCAGAGGGAGGTGGGATATTGGCAGGAGCCGCATCTCCGGGACTCACGATTGCGCAATAGAACGAAGACTGTAGCTGGCTGCCCTACGAAAACTACAATGGCCACAGCCTGAAGGAAACTTTCTCCCTCGCGGTTTACACCCTGTTACCTGAGGACCAGATAAGACATCCCAGGATAGTAAGACCCTGGAGCCACACCCTGGACCTCCTAAGAAGAGGGAGCTGGGTTTTAATTTTTTGTTTGTTTGTTTGCTTGTTTGTTTGAGGAGGGGATTCTTCAACTGGCAGGTCTTAGCTCACATGATCCAAATATGCGCACTAGAGCGACAAGAAAAGGGGCGCACAGCTTCCACACAGAGCCCGGGTTTCCAGAAAAGTACCACAGAAGATGCAACCTAGACAATACACTCTTCTCTGGGCCTGACCACTCTTCTCCTAGTTTGAAATTGTATTTTGTTCTTGAAAATTCAAAAATATGAGGAAAAAGTCATGAGTATTTCCCGTCTCAGCTCTAGTGGTGACCTCTTAGCTCACTTAGCCTGCCTCCCACAGGACCCTGACTTCCTGGGAGTGTCACCCCAGGTCCTTGGGAAAATTGTGCCTTTGCTATCTCCCATCTAAACATGAAAAGCCTGAATAGAGTCCACATAGAGGTAGGCCAATTAAACAGGACGGGAGCGCCTCCCTGTGGTCCTCTAGAGAGATCGAAACAAAGGGTACTGGCGCCCTCTAGTGGCAAAAGAAGCTGCCTCCTGTGCTGGCCAAGATCCTGAACCGCCACCTCCTAATGACGCCTGCCTAGAATTAGGAGGAAAATGTGTGTTCCTTGTGCATCCTTAACACCGGTGAATTTAGGATACTTCGCTGCTGTGGGAGAGAATGTGTATATTTTCGCAACTGTCACCCCCCAGCGTCACAGACTTCATTTTTTCTCAGCTAGGTTAAGACCTGCAGGCATACTGTGAACCGGGTAGGAACCCGGGTCCTCAAGGCGATTCCTTGGGGGACTCACGCAGCTTTATCAGCATAGCTGTTCTGGAGAAATAAATAAAGGACACACTCCATCCCAAGCCAAGGAATCTGTGTGATCCATCCACACACTCACGTGGGGAGCCCATACATCTGCTGGCTCAGCAGTTTCTCAGGTCGAGGATGCCAACCCTGTAAAGCTTCAGTCAGGGAGAAAATATGCTCCTGTGGCACACACTGGGGAGGGAATCCTAGAAATGAAGGAAGTGCTTGCTTAGCCTTGAATTTTAATTAAAGTTTAAGAAGTGAAAATGGCCGGGCAGCAGCCAGTACTCAGGAGGCAGAGGCAGGTGGATCTCTATGAGTTCGAGGCCAACCTGGTCTACAAGAGATAGTTACACAGAGAAACCCTGTCTTGGAAAAAAAATGTGAAAATGACACCTCATATTCCTTAAGATGGCCATTACTAAGAAAGACGGACAATCAGTGCCGGAACTCAGTCCCTGTATGTGGAAATGTGGAATGTCACAGCTGCGTGGGGAAGGCAGTATGCTGTTCCGCAAATAAATAGATAAATAGTATTACTGCAAGCTGCATTTATTCCATGCCTGGATATAGAACGCCCAGGGTTAAAAGCGGCTCTCAGATATTTGCTCACGCACACAGACAGCAGTGCCGTTTACAAAAGCTAAGGCATGGCAGACTCAACTGTCTATCCTTGGTGAACAGGGCAAAGGGTTCCATTATCCATACAAGGGAAGACTATTCAACTTCAAAAATGATGAAGTTCTGATCCACGCTACAGGTAACCACCCCGAGGACAATGTAGTGCAGGGCTCAACATATATAACATACATAATCATTGAAACCATGTGGAACATGGAACGCAGGGCTCAACATATATAATATTCATAGTCACTAAAACCATGTAGACAGTGGAATGGTGGTTGCCAGGGTCTGGAAGAAAGGAGGTGACTTCAGATTGTTCCGTACCCAGTTTCCCTTTCCAGAGTCTCGATTACCCAAGAATCAACTCTGACTCACCAAAGAAATCACATGGAAAATGCCAGAAGTAAGTTTAGGTGTCAGATGGTTCTCCATTCTGAGGGCACAATCTTGCACTGCCCCACTTGGTGCAGCCCAGACGTTGTGTCCCTTCCGCCTGAGTATCCACGCTGTGTATATTACCCGTCTATGCTTCCCAGCCTTCTCAGCTTTACCAGATCAACTGGCCCGGTGCCACCATGTTTGTGTTCCAGGGAGCTTATCTGACTTACCAATAACCCGAAAGCCCAATAGCAGTGCTATAAAGGAGGTAGCAATGCTTAAACACTCAAGGACAGGTTATCCCTGATACCAGGTGCCAGTGCGGTTCAGCACACAGGGAAAAGTGTAGTGCACATTGGACCTAGTACATCTCATGGCTAATAACTGTCCGCATGGGATTGTTTCACCCAGGGGTGCTAGGAATTGAATCTGTGTCCTCTGGAAGAAGAGTGGGTTATAAAATTAGAAAAGGAAATGAAGTTAGGAGGGGGATGCTGTTGGGTGAGGAGGAGGCAGGAGTGGAGTGGGGAGTGGACCTGATCAAAAGCCATTATAGACATACTTAAAATTGTCACAAAATAAATTAAAATATTGTTGATATGAATAGATAAATAAACAGATGGTTCTTAACCATTGAGTCATCTCTCTAGCCCCAAGCACAGGGAATTTAAGAAACTCTGTGTATTTTCTGTGACCATCCTAAAATCTTTAACACTTTAAAAAGTTCTAGAAAGGGATAGGGATGATGGAGCCACCTCTGTCATACACGAAGGCTCTTACCACCACAGAGACTGAGCCTAAAGGTGGCTAAGTGAGGAGAAATCTTACTTTGTGTGTGTTTTGCTACAATTAAAAAATAAAAAAAAATAGCCATGTATGGTGGTACACAGTGAAATTAAGGGAATTGGGAAGTGGAAGTTAGAGACAGACAGACAGGAAGGAAGAAAGAAAGAAAGAAAGAAAGAAAGAAAGAAAGAAAGAAAGAAAGAGGAGAGAGAGGAAAGAGAGAGAGAGAGAGAGAGAGAGAGAGAGAGAGAGAGAGAGAGAGCCTGTTTTTTAGAAACTCCTGAGAAGACTGCTAAACTTTTAACTACGATTGTATCTTTTTCTATTTCCTTCCTTGGTGCAAAGTTTTGTTTCACGTGTGCATAGAGGCTTTTTTGTTTGGTCCACGAACCATAGAATGGTTCTGTCTTCCCAACGACCCCCCTCTCTCTTATCATCGTCCTGTTTGTCATGTAGTGATCCGTAATGGGGATCCAAGGGGGAATTACGTGCAGACCTGAGGCATCCTCCCTCTGTGGTTGCCTTCTTTTCAGCCCTGCCTCTCTTATTGTCCAGACACTCTGGCAGCCTCCAGCTACAGCTGTGGAACATGTTGGCTGTGACCAGCATTAGCTCCAGCACCCACAATCTGTCCCAGACGGTCTGCTCCCTGGGGAGAGCTGTAAAAAAGGACCCTGAAAAATTAAATTTCCTTCCTCTGGAGCTGGATACTTTCCTGTTTCTGCCTATTTTGGGTTGCTATATGCTGTTTGAAATGTTATGTTTTTGACATATTTTGTCCCGAGTTGATCACTCTTGTCTGTGGGAGGAGCTGGCTGACATCAACTACCCTGCCGTTGTTGAGTCTGTAAAACCCCTTAGTTATAGTAAGAGTTTTATCTAGACTTAAAACTATATTAAAATGGAACTAGCTTCCTTGGAAAATGGGGAAGAAAGAACGGAACCCAATGGCTTATGACACAGTTGCGTCAACCCCTTGTAAGCCTGACAGTTGTGGACATTGGCAGCGGTGGGGGAGAGATGGAATTCTTTCAGCATGGCCGTGATGGGCACTCCCGGGGTCTACAGATTTGTGCCCAGAGATGATTGCGCTGGCTATGCCACTCTCGGTGTGTCCTGTAGAGAAGCTTTGCAACCTAAATTCCCCTCACTCTGTGAGGCAACAGACGACACTCATTAGCCACCTGCTGTATTCCCTTGAGCTACAGACTAGACCTTTAATAAGGGAAGGCAGAGCCTGGAGCCATGGTGATGTCACAGATCTTCCCTTACTGCCTATGTATCTTGACTATTTGCATCCTTCACACTGGCGAGGGCTCGGTTTTGTCCAGTTTCCTTTCTGTTCCCCGGTGTTCTAGTTTCCTTTCTGTTGTTTTGATCTAGTTTCCAGTTTGTCGTTAACTGGGGGTTTCTATCCTGTCCAGTCCCACAGTTGTTCAGTTCCAAAGCAACACACAAGAGGCCTACATTAATTATAAACTGGTTGGCCTATTGGCTCAGGCTTCTTATTAACTAATTCTTACATCTTACATTAACCCATTATTCTTGTCTGTGTTAGCCATGTGGCTTGGTACCTTTGTCAGCTACAGATTCTCATCTTGCTTCCTCTGCAGCAGGGTGACAACTGCAGACTGAATCTTTCCTCTTCCCAGAATTCCCCTGTTCTCATTGCCCCGCCTCTACTTCCTGCCTGGCTACTGGCCACTCGGCATTTTATTGAACAAATACAAGAAACAAATCTTTACAGGGTAAAAGCATTGTCCCACAGTACACCCTGAAGAAAGCAACTTAGGGAAAGAAAGGGTTCATTTGCCTCATGCTTACAGACCGTGGTCCATCACTGAGGAAAGTCATGGCAGGAACTGAGGGAGTAACTTGAAGCAGGAGCTATGGATGCTGCATCCATGTGGTGGGCCGCTGCAGTCTGACTGCACCATGGTTTGGGGTTGGGACTTTTGTCCCTGGCTCATCCAGAGAGGGGGAGGAGCTGGAGATGGGATTAACCAATGAGGCCTATGGGATGAAGCCTTCATGAAAACCCAGTCTGCCTTCAGAAAGCCCTGACTAGCGTGTGACATCTTAGTGTGTCACATCTTAGTGTGTGAGAGGTTACTGAATCCTTGGCACTAGGAGAAAAAAAAAATCCTTAACCTGCACAATCCAGAGAGTTTCCAGGCTGGCAAAAGCATTCATGTGTCAGGAACAGGGTACCGGGGCAGAGACCCTTGGGCCCAGGACCGTGGCAGGCCTAGCCCTCCGCCCACCCTCACCTGGATGTTACTCTCTACCCCTTGTTGTCCTCTTTGTATTAAGTCAAGAAGCAATGTAGAGAGTCCCCTCTGCATTCCACAAACCGTTTCTCACCAGTTTTCAAACCCTAAGAGACAAGGAGAACACCCCATTTGTACTCAAGAGGTAAAAATATTAGAGATTTGAAATTGTCTCTGAATGAGGGGGTAGGTCTCAGGGGACCAAGCCCTAAATTTGGGGAATCTGCACTAACTCCAGGGAGTAGTGTTAGAATTGAACCCAAGTGTAGAACATCACAGTTGTTGGTGTCTGGATGGTCAGATAATTGGTTGTTAGTGTCAAAGTGTTCTGAGTAGAAGTGAGGCCTCCTGAGAGGAAGTTTGGTCACTGAGGACACTCTTAAGGGAGACGCTGGAATACCCACCCCTTCCTCTCTTTCTGCTGTCAGGCCACCACGCGTGAGTGGCACAGGTTTCCTCTGACACATGTCTTGGCCACCATGTTCTGTCTCACTACAGGCTCAAGGACAAATTACTATGGGTTCAAATTTCTGAAATTATGAACCTAAATAAAACTGTTCTCTTTTGCGGCTAATCATCACAGGCCTTTTCTCACAGCCCCTGAAAGAGTGTTAGCACACGCGGAAAGCATGGAGAGCCATAAACCGCACAAGCAAAAAGTGCCCGTGCTATTCTCAGCTTGTTTTAAGAAAGCAAGCCATTTGTCGATCCAGATAATTTGAGAACTGCTGGTTTAAGTGATTAAAATGACAAGAGCAGACTCCTTAAAAGAATACAGCCATCTTCCACAGAGAAATAAAAACATGCGGTTGTGTGGGGAAAATGATGGGAATGCAGCCGGGCGGTGGTGGCGCACGCCTTTAATCCCAGCATTCAGGAGGCAGAGGCAAGTGGATCTCTGGGAGTTCGAGACCAGCCTGGTCTACAAGAGCTGGTTCCAGGACAGGCTCCAAAGCTACAGAGAAACCCTGTCTTGAAAAACAAACAAACAACCAAAAATAAAAAATAAAAAGAGTTACTGGCAAAGCCCTATGGACTTAGACAAGTTTCTCTAAAATAGAATTAATTTTATCTGTCTACCATCTATTTATGTGTACATTTAATATACAAATATGCATACACATGCCCACATACATACATGTGTATATACATGTACACATGCACGCACACACACACATAATTATAGGCAGAAATTAGTAGACTGACTATAGAATCAGAGGTTGAGAAATCCTACAATGGTTGTCTGCAGGCTGGAAAGCCAGGGAAACCAACAGTTGCTTAGACTGAAAAGCTTAGAACAGTGGTTCTCAACCTGTGGGTCTTGACCCCTTTGGGGTCACATATCAGATACCCTGCATAACAGATATTTACATTACAATTCATAACAGTAGCAAAATTACAGTTAGGATGTAGCAACGAAAATAATTTTATGGCTGGGGGGTCACCACAACACGAGGGGAAAGGGTCAGAGCATGAGAAGTTAAAAACCACTGCCTTAGAAGGGAGGACCAACGATGCAGCCTCCGTCCCAGGACTGGAAAGACCGTGATGAGCAGCTGGTGCAAGTCCGCCTTCAAAGACTGAAGAGCTGGATTTCCCAGGCGCCACAACGGAAACCATGGCTGTTCCAGGAGCAGGGAGTACGCATACGCATGAGCCTGCCCCCTTCTTGGCCTTTCTGCTCCTTTCAGGGCCCTGTCCAATTGCACAGTGATGTCCTCCTTTAGGGCAGTTCTTTTCCATTCATTTTGCTGGTCCACATGTCAATCATCTCCTGGAATACCATAGAAGACACATCTCAGAAGGAGGCTTTGCAGATTTCCTAGATATCACTCACAGCAGTGATGTGGATAACCAGGATTAGCTACCATACCCTAGCAAGGAAAGACTCGCTTTGGGGTATCTGCCTTCATGACTGATGATACCTAGGGTTACATGGTTAATGTCTATCTCAGGCTGGGGTTCCTGGCAGTGTGGTTCTCTTCTCTGGAGCCCGCCTATTCGGTCTATTCTGACAGAATGTGGTTCTGTGTAAATTAAAAGGAAGGACTTCAGGTAATGCAACGTCCACTATAACTAAGATCCATTTACTCGCCTCTTCTTTGATGTCTCACGAATGTCCTCAGACATTCCTTCCAAATCCCTATTTAATAAAATTCTCAAGGAAAGGCTGAGGCTAGAGGGTCAAGAGTTCAAGACCCGCCGTGGCAACATAATGAGACCCCTACAGAAGTCTCAAAAAGAAAATTACCCAAAAGGGGCACTAGAAAAAAAAGAAACATAGAACAAAAGATGAACACATGCCTTTTCTTCTACTTTTTTTTGTATTTTATATTTTTCTACAAAGCCTAAACATTTTTAAAAGAAAACAAGTACTTAATTTTTAAAATAGCTGCCACCAAAAAAATAAATATGTAGCTAAACTGTAGCGCAATTTCTAATTGATCTTAATAATAAAAATCCAAAGTCAGATATTAGGGGAGAAAAGCTGAAAGATCAGAGAAACAAAGCAGCCAGCCACTAGTTCTTACCTCTACGAAATTCTCAGACCAAATGGAGTATCCTGTCTCTACAAGTCCTCAGAATGAATGTCTTGAGCTTCTGTCTCCTCCCCCTTTCTATTCCTCTCTCCGCCAAGCCCTATCCCTTCCTGTCTCTACCCCCCTAGTGCTGGGTTAAAGGTGACTCCCAAGTACTGGGATTAAAAGTTTGGCCCACTTCCACCTGGCTCTGTTTCTCTTTGAGACTGGATCAATCTTGTGTAGTCCAGGGTGGCTTTGAACTCACAGAAATCCATCTACCTCTGCCTCTTGTATGCTGGGATTAAAGGTATGTGCCACCATTGCCTGGCCTCTATGGCTAACTAGTGGCTTAGCTCTGCACTCTGATCTTCAGACAAGCTTTATTTGTTATAGCACAAACCAAATATCTCCACACTAAACATTTTATAAAAGTCCGACAAAGAAAGCACTGCCCAGAACCATAAGATGCTAAATTTTAACTGTGTGGCAGGTCCATCTCAGCCAGCAGTCCTGAAGCTGTCATGGATGTTGGACCATCTGGGCCATTGCTTCATGGGGTCTTATTTGATCAAACCATATTTGCTCGCAAGGAATCCACAGCTTTCTATCCTCTGTGGAAACAAAAGCAGAATCTCTTTTCCAAAACAACATATCCTTGGACCCAAATTTTGAGTCAAGAGATATGTTTAGTTTAACAGCCTGTACAATTAAATGTCAAAAAATTCAAAGAAAACACAACAATATACATAATCCAGACTCTCTGTGTATTTTCCATCTTTAAATGGCTTATTTTTCTTTACTCCTTTGATCTATGACTGTCTATATTCTGTCTCTTTAAAGACTTTGTTTTATTTTTAAAACCATCTACTTGTTTTTATAACTATATATATTCTTTTTCCCCTCTTTCCCAAGCCTACATACATTTATCCAACACTGTGACCCATTCAGAGGTCTTTTTCATCTGAATCTGTCTTTATTGTGTATCTGCAATCATTTCTGACCAGGAGTGCTTTTTAAAAAAAAAAAAAAAAAGCTAAGCAGGCATAGCTAGAACTAAGGATGCCCTGCCCAGTCCAACATGGCAGAGCCAGCTCTGTGAGCCATGCTCTCTATCCCAGCTCCAGGGACACAGGGGGTCTATGCTGCCATTAAACAACTTGGAGTATTCTGCTCACAAACACCATTTAAATGCTCCTTAAAGAGCCAGAGTTCATGCTACCAGCACAAACCAGAAAGCCACAGTTTTTAAAAGCAGCTGCACAAGTTTTTTTTTTTTTTTTTTCTGCTAATGCTGAATCAGGAAGCCTTCTCTTAGAGGAGCTGTACCTCTGCTTGCTGCCAGCAAACAGAGCCTATCTGGAAAAAAAAATGTGGCCACCAAGAAGCTGCATTTGGCTCCCATTTTTGTAGGTCTAGAAGCCCTCCTTTATTTTTCTTAAGCATTTTTTTTTAGATCTTATGTGGACCCATGCCCCAGACAGTGGGCACCATTTTGTAGGCAGAGACTGCTTGTTCATATCCCAGCTGCCCAGACCTGAAATAACCACACAGAAGCTATATTAATTAAAACACTGCTTGGCCTGTTAGCTTAGACTTCTTATTAACTAACTCTTACATATTAAATTAACTCATTTCCTATTATTAACTCATTTTCCTAGTATTTTACTGGTAAGGTTCTGGGGCCTCTGTCTCCTTCAGCAGCTGTATGACGTCTCCCTGACTCTGCCTTCTTTGCTCCTCTATCTCTGCTTGGAATTCCTGCCTTGCTCCATTCCGCCCTGCCATAGGCCTAAGTAGCTTCTTTATTCATTAACCAATAAAAGCAACACATATACAGCACTTCCCACACCTGTATAATTAATGTCCCTGTAAAAGAAGAGGTAGATTTCAGACCTAGGTTCCCTGATTCTATGCTGTCTGCCAGGTAGACATCATGGGGGGCGGCACCATAAAAGGTGCTAGCTATAAACCAGAACACAAGCCCTCTCCAGACAGTAAGCCTGCTCAGGTCTTAATCTTGGGCTTGCCAGCCTCCAGAACAGGGAAAACAACGAATTTCTATTGTTCTAAGTTAACCTGTCTCTGGTGGTTCATTATAACAGCCTAGACAGTCAGAGACAGTGGCCCTTATGTGTCCAATGAGAGTCCTGTTCAATAGAGTAGCCACTATCAAAGCACAGCTGGGCTCTTTCAAGTGTGGTGAGCACGCTGGAGGTCTGGAACTTCCGGTCACAGCTTCCAGATGGCACCGTTGCTGTCATTGATAAGGGCCACCTGTGCTGGGTAGAGCAGAAGGATGACGGGAAGGGTGGGAGGGGCAGGAGAGCGGAGCGTGCTACAGTCTATCATTTCAATGCCAAACAGAACACAATGAAACACTAACCTCAAGTAGAGAAGGAAGGCAGAGGAAGGAAAACAGCTACAGTTTGTTTAGTGCCTGCGCCATCCCCGACCCTTATTCCTCTGTAATCTGTTCTCTGTTCCTCCGAAGGCTATCACACTGTTCTTACACAGATGAGGCCCATTTCTGGGTTAGGAACTGCAGCAGACAGGTAGAAGACAGAGATTTCAGATCTAGGTTCCACAATTCGATGCTGTCTGCCAGGCAAAACTAGCTTTCTCAGTCGTGTTAAAAAAAAAAAAAAAAAAAAAAAACCACTCAATACACTGAGCTTAGGCCATGGAGACAGAAATCGGTTGGTGGCTGGCAGGTCAGGGGGAGGGCCTGGAGAGCAGCTTCTCAGTGTATACAACTGCCTTTTATTTTTTGAGTGATGGACTGTTTTTTGCAACCATGCAAGCCAGCTCTCCACAAACCGAATTCACCAAATACCTTGGATTAAAATGACTACTTTTTCTGTTTTTTTTTTTTTTAAAAAAACTATTTTATTTTTTACATATACAATATTCTGTCTGTGTTGTGTGTATGTCTGCAGGCCAGAAGAGGGCACCAGACCTCATTACCATGTAATTGCCGGGAATTGAACTCAGAACTTTTGGAAGAGCAGGCAGTGCTCTTAACCACTGAGCCATCTCTCCAGCCCCTCCTTTTTCTGTTTTTTGAGACAAGGTTTCTCTGTGTAGCTCTGGCTGTCCTGGAACTTGCTCTGTAGGCCAGGCTGGCCTTGAACACAGAGATCTACCTGCCTCTGTCTCCCAGGTGCTGGGATTAAAGTTGTGTGCCCCCCCCCCCACTGCCTGGCCTTTTTNCCTGCCTGGCCTTTTTTTTTTTTTTTTTTTTTTTGGCAAGGTCTAAGGTAGCCCAGGCTGGCCTCGAACTTGCTAAGTAGATAAGGATGACCTTGAACTTCTAGCGACAGGATCACACACAGAGGCAAGCAGGGTACTGAGGATTGAACCCACCCAGGGCTTCCTGCAAGCACTCTGTTCCCCAGCCCTACAATGACAATTTAATGGTATGTGAATTTCACAGTAATTAAAGGAGAAATAAAGCTACGGAGATACTGACAAGAATGACAAATTGCTAACAATTTCAAATCACTCCATAGTCCCCAGATCCTGCGATCACAACCCCACCCCCACCCCCACGCTGAGCAGATTCTCGGATCTCAATGCAATTTTATCCCCATTCCCATTACCCAGAGCTCCCCAAGTCTCTGAAGCACTCTAGAAAATCAATCAGGAGAATGCTCACGATGTTATATTACTTTAGACTTTATTTAGACTCCATTTTAAAGTGCGTGCAGCCCGGGGGAGGGGAGGCCGAGGACCTTGAAATTACAAAGCAAATACCCACCCCCTGTTCCCCTGCCACTGCCAGGCAGCAAAGAAAGGGAAAGGCACTACCCAACTTCAAAAGTCAATGTCAGGATGATGTTGTGGTCTCCCGAAGCACCGAGCAGGCCTGGACCTTCTGCACACAGAGTATCTCTTTAAAACCCGGGGAGGTGCCCAATGCACGAGGGGGACGGCCCTGGCACGGCCCAGGGGCGGAGCCAGACCAATGGGTGTGGCCCCATTGGGGGCGTGTCCTGGGCGTGAGCGGACCGGGGCAGTGGGCGGGGCCGGCGCTAGCCCTGGAGAGGCTCTCCGCCCGCGGCGTAAACTCAACCCTGCGCCGCGGCGGAGCAGGTGAGCCGAGGGCGGGGGCTGGGTGCGTGCGGCCCAGTACCTGTCACTGATCGCGGGTAGCCAGCAGCATGGAGATCCCGAATGCAGCGAGGCCCTTCTTGTGCATGCCCCTGACCGCTGCGGTCTCGGCCCCGTCGGGGTACTCGGGTCCGGGCTCCAGGCTGCGGCCCCGGCGGCGATCGCGGCCTCTTTGGCTGGCGCGGGGGCGAGGAGAAGGCGCCGGGGAGGCGGCAGTGCGGCCGGCCCAGAACCTGGGCTAGGCAGGAGCGTAGGAAGCGGCCCTGGGCCTCTGGTGTCCTCAGCGTCCCATACTGCGTCCCATACTGCCTCGGAAGCCGTAGGCAGGGTAGGCGCTGAGCGAGGTGTTAAAGGGCCAGTGCACGTGGGTCTCACAACTGTATTGACCATGCATTTTGGTCCCTGTTACCTAGGACCTGACCTGGTCCACCTGGTCTCTGCTACAGATGTCGAGGGAGTGGGGACTTCTTGCGTGAGGAGCGGAGCGCAGGATAGGGCCCGAGGCTTGCTCTGAGGTTGGCATTCTGTTACCAGCGATGTTTGGATGGTTTCTAAGTCTCTTACAGCAGTGGGGAGACGCCCAGAATCAAGCCTTTGAAGCGGAAGGGGCTCAAAAAGCAAGATCCAGCTGCCACAGAATTTTACTGATGGAGAAACTGCGCCTAGGGCTGAGGATGCAGTTCTATGGTGGAGTGCTGGCCAAGCAGGCATGAGGCCCAGGGAGGAAAGGGAGGGTGGGGAAGAACAAACTCCCAGAACTAAAAAGTACAGTTGCCCAAGGTCTCCTAGATAAGATACAGTAGAGCCGGGCTTACAGCCTGCTGCTTGGGCCTCTACTCCTGCCGTTCAGACCCTAGTCCTTTGCTAGTTAGATGAAATCTCTGCTTAGGCCTTCGTCTTTAAAGGGACAAGCTGTGGGTGAAATAACTGTATCCGTTTACAGATGGAGAATACAAGTCAGAGCAGATGCAGACCCACTTAACTCAAAATGGACAGCCGTCCCCAGAATAGTCTGCTGGGGACAGAGACTCCGGCATCCAGAATGGATATACCTGATGTTTATATAGCCCCTCTGTGGACACCTGGGCCTCTCAGGCCTTCAGCCAAGACTTCTGGCAGTAATGAAAGGTTCTGCATAAGCTGCTCCAGGTGTGCGAGGCTCAGGTTCCCCTTTGGGGGTAGGTGGCTTTGTGGGAGCCGGGAACAGTATCAGGTCCTGTGTTTTTATTTGGCGAAGGGGCCAGTGTCTTGGCTTCAGGCCAGAGGTGGCCATCCAGGTTCATTCCCTAACTAGAATCAGGCTGGCAGGGATAGAGAGGTGGGGTGGCAGAGGTGCAGGATGGCATGGGAGCTGTGCCAGATTTGGAGAACTATATCCTAATATCCAAATATAGACTGTATGCATTTGTATGTGGAAATGAATGTTCCTACCTGAGGGGAGACAGACCAGGATGAGGGATGCTGCCAGAGGCCACTGCTTGCTCTGTCTGATGGCCTGGAGCCGAGGGTCTGACTGTATCCTGTCCAGTGCCCCTTCTGTGGTTGCCCGCAGGCCTGTAGCACAGTTTGCCATGTGAGTTTCTTGCCAGACTTGGCCTCTCTGGGTTGTTGGCGTAATAACCATGTGACATGCCCATGTGTTAGGAGTTAGGCACTCATGATAAAAAACCATTTTGCCCAGTTATTATAAAAAACTTAATAATGAGTCAAAAAGATGGCTCAGCAGTTATCAGCACTGGCTATACTCCCAGAGGACCTGTGTTCAATATGGAGGCTCACAGCCATCTCTAACTCCAATTCCAGGCCAGTTTTGGCCTCTTTGGACATGAGGTACCCATGTGCTGTGCAAACATACACACGCAGGCAAAATACCTACACATATAAAATAGAATTGATTTTCTTTTTAAGAACTTAAGTAATGTGATAGCTCATGTCTGTGATTCCAGTGCACAATCACTGAGGCAGGAAGATTCCTGTGAGTTCAAGGCCAGCCTGGGCTACATAGTGAGACACTGTCTCAAAAAGCAAACCAGCAAAACATATAACAACAATGTAAGCCACCAAACAAACCTAAAGGGACACTGGAACGGTTATCATGACTCTTTTAAAGTCAGGGAGCCTGCATTCTGGGAAGTGGCAGGAGGGGACCCCAGCTGCCCAGCTGTGTGACTCTGCCGCCTGTCAGGCAGGATCTGGACATTGCTTGCCCGTATTGTGTACCTTTGGAGTTGTACACGGGCTTGCCATGGTTACCTCTAGTCTGTGTCTACACTGCTACCCAGAACATTTCTGTGAGGTCTTGAACCTGGGAGAAAACAAATTTGTTTTGTATTCTGAGACAGGGTCTCGCTGGGCAGCACTGGTTGGTGCACTTTCTGTAGGAAAGCGGAGCTTAAACTAATGGCAAACCCCCTGCCTCAGCTTCTCTCTCCCAGGGCTTTTGATTCTAGATAAGTACCATCACTTCAGTTACCCCCACCAAAGAATGCCTGTGATCTCAGCACTTGAAGATAGAGAGGCAGGAGGATCCAGAGTTTAATGTTATCCTGGCTGTAATAATGTGATCGCCCATTGGAAAACCAAAACTGAAACAAAAGGAACAGAGGGAGAGAAGAAACCACCAAAACTCTGCGCACGCACACATTGTGTGTGTGTGTGTGTGTGTGTATGTGTGTGTGCGCGCAGGCCACACGGGTCATGCTAACAAAAACCTTGTGGCTCTTTTTCAGCTGTTGTTTTGAGGTTAGGCCACTGCTCAGCTGGGACCCCGCAGACAGCAAACGTTTCTGTGATTGTTCCCACCTGTTTTGGGGCTACGGCCACTGAGGAGTGGTGCTCAGTTCACATGCAGTCTCCTCCCCAGGCTTAGGGATGACATTACTGCCACCCAAACACTTGGGGCAAAGAATGATTCCAAGTGAACTCCTCTGGAAAGCGGAGGTGCCGTGCAGGGAGAGTGTGCTCTGTCTACTGGCTGAGAGAACAGGTGGCTTGTTTTGTTCGTCCCTCCCTCTTGTGTGAGGAGCGGGGCATCCTTCCCTCTTTTTGTTTTGTTTTTGGAGACAGGGTATCTCTGTGGAACAGCCCTGGCTGTCCTGGAATATGCCTTTGTAGTCCAGGCTGGCCTCGAACTCACAGAGATCCGCCTGCCTCTGCCTCCTGAGTGCTGGGGTTAAAGGGCGTGTGCCACCACTGCCTGCCTTGTTTGGTACATCTTTGCAGATGGAGGAGACCTAAAGGCTTCCCACCTTCCTGTGACACCTTAGCCGGAAATTTCTTCATATTTTTAAAAATAAAAGTAAGACATACTTATTCTGAAAACTTAAGTCTTTAAAAAGACACCCCTTCACCCTCAGCTCTGGAATGAGTGTGCGGAGCTCCTGAGGCATTGCACAGGTGGGGTCTGGTGGGAAGTCTTCTGATCACTGGAGGTGTGAGGGCATCGCTTTTCTTACTTTTTGGACCTGAGTTGAGTCGTTTTGCTGTACTGCAAGCCCAAAGCCATAGGCCCAACTGACCCTGGGTATTGTAGCGCTGAAGCAAAGTGAACCATTTCTTTTTAAATGTAAATTATATCTCCAGTGTTCATGTTAGTAACAGAATACCACCAGATTTGATGAGTGTGGCAAGTCCATGAGAATGTCTTGATTTCTTTTACTGGTCCCATTTGTCTTTTCAACTGACCAGGAGCAGTAACTTATTACCTTTCCTCACCTCCACTGGTTGGCAGGTCCGTCTCTAAGCTCCACAGACCTGCAGGAGTGGGGGGATGGGGGCATGCAAGAGAGACTTTATTGAGGACTGTAAGCTGGTACGATCTGGGAGTGGCCACAGGGGCATTTCTAGATATCTCCTTGTCCTTGGCAGACCCGTGCCATCTTAATCCACAAATGAGCTCCCAACGAGCCTGAGGATTTGGGTTGGCTGCCTGGCCTCTGTGTGCAGGAACCTGATGGGGTTAGTTGGACAGGGAATGACGTTCTGCAGGCAGTTTGGAGACCTGTAAACAGTTGGTCCTCATCTGACTCCTTTATTCCCCCTTCGCCCCCAGCTACCCTGGCCTTTGGTTCCCTGAACTATGAAAGGGTACCCACTGATGGCGCTTCAGGTACTCAGCCCAGCTTTAACATCATCTTATGGATGAGCCCTTTTGACAAAATGTTCCCATTGTCCAGCTGAGGCTGGATGGAAACAGGATCTCCCTGGGGCCTGGCCTTTATACATGTTTCTGGTGGTTTCACAGTTTACTAGCTTCCTAACACGGCACCAGCTGGCTTCCGTAATCCCCTCTTAGAGGTCCCTCCTGCCTCCATGATAGCTCCTTTATTGAACACCCTTGGTGGCAGTCTTACAAAGCCTCCTGTTTGCTGTTCACAGAGGAGGCAATAGCTCCTGTCACCTTGCATGGTCAGAAGCTGTCCAGAATGGTTCATGGCACATAAGTCTCTGACCACTGGCTGCTGTGTCTTATTTAAAACTAATCTAGTTTTTACTTGAAGGTGGTGGGCTAGAGGCTCTCTCCCTGTCCCCCCCAGCTGCCCCTCCCCCAGGCTACTGCCCCCAACTGTCCCTCCCCCAGTCTACTGCCCCCATGCCCCTCCCCCAGGCTACTTTCTCCCCTCCCTCAGTCTACTTAAGGAAATGAGGAAAATTGCCCAGGTACTCAAGAGGAAAATAGGTAATGGAGTTTAATCCAGAGGTTAAGACAAGGTCACAGGGCCCCACTTGAGGGTCTGGGGTCTGGCACTCAGTCCAGTCCTGTCTGAGGTCTCCCAAAGTCCAGGAGAACCAGCCATTCAGCAAGTGCCAGGTGGACCAGCCAAATACACGGTCACGTGTGAAGGGATAGAGGTAGGTGTGGAATCTGTAAGATGTCTTGGTGTTGCCGGATTGGGGGAAA